GCTTACTATCTGCGCCACCACATTCAGCTCACTTTATTAATTAATATCGTATAATAGTAATAATAATATTAATAATAGTAAAATACTCAACAAATATTTATTTCAGCTTTTTCTATCCCATGCATTTAAAAGCTGTCTACATAACTTAGCTGTAAGAATATAATCAGTTTATTTTTTTTTTAAGCATTTCAAGCGCACAACTATTCGGTATTTTTGGGTGTTTTTAACGTTGTGAGAATTATTGACGGAAGTTGCAGTTAGAAAATGTGTTTTAATAAAGTCAGAATAAGTGAGTATACAATGCAAAGGTAAAATAAAAAAGCCAAATAATAAATCAAAATAGCAAAAGACCAAAAATTTCAATAGAAGAATATAATTTAAGAATCAATAAAAATATAAAAAACGTAGAAAAATGGCATAAAAATTAATTTTTTGAATCGGATTTCGCTCTCAAATGAGCAAATAAAATAAAAATGTAATTGGAACAATCAATTACAAAAAAAAAAAACGGGAAACCATAAAATATTCAAAAAAGTGCACTCCAAAAATATTTGGAAGTTAATACAACGGAAAAAAAAAATTAATTTACCGGTGATAAAAAAATTTATTTTTAAAGAAAAAGTTGATTTACTAAACGGTCGATCATGGGTAGCCGATGGACTGTAGTTCAATGCCATCCGCAATCGACCCATGCGAATATATTTTTAAAAACATCAATCCAAAGGGCATTAACAAAACGTCGAAGCAATGAAAAGTTTGCAATCAAACATACCGACATACCCATACTGAATTCAACCGAAGAACGTAAAAAACACCACCAACTTCAAAGGTAACATCAGAAGGAAGAAACAAAAGCAGCAACTCTGAAGCAAGCAAAAAAATCGCCATTGTATACAAATCGCTCTTTCCGAGTCAGCAGGAAGAAGTTCACGCTAATGCGCCAAAAACGCCGGACAAGTAAATTCTAGCTTAGTGGGTATGTATGCGTATGTATATGCATACACAAAGTCCTACACGAATCCGGTTTTTAATTGCGAACAAGGAATGAACAAATAAAAAAATTGCGCATGAGCCAGAAACTAGTTTTGCGCTGCGCCACCAAAAGAAAATCCAGGTAAAAACATATGTATGTATGTACATATACATAGGTATACGTATAAGCAAATAACTATGCCGCATAAAATGCGTAATGTTAAACAAAGTAAAAGCTAAATGATATTAACAAACAACCATTGGCTTTGTTAGGTATGATGTATGTATGTGCACATAACTAACTATATACACCACCGCCTGCGCTTTGCTTTGTTTTAGTTTTAAAACGGCTCATTGCAACTGCCTGCTTGCTGCTGCCGTGGCTGTTCTTGTTGTTGTTGTTCGCACCTTCAGACATATATCTTTAGTTATCAAATTATAACGCTTGCATGTTTTTTTTTTGTTTTCATTATATTATACATTTATAGATAAGTTTATTTTATTTTATTTTTTCTTCTACACTTCTTTATTACATACATACTTGCATACTTATATACTTTTTAACGCCTGCTTGTTTATGTTGTTTTTTCATTTGCAGTTGTTTATTCTAATGCACTATTATTAGTATTTAATAATAATTGTATTAATAACTAAAACTATAAATATTCTTGTTGCTTGTTTAACTTTAAATGGTAGTTTAGTTTTTTGTTTTTGTTTTCGTTTTGATTTCTATTTTTATAATTTTTTAAATTTCCATTATTATATCAATATTTAAGCATTTATTTATTCTGTTTTTGTATTTTGTTTTTGTTTGTTTAGATATTTTCCTCATACGCGAATACCTTTCCTTTATAATGTCTCATAGCATACAATTTTAGCTTGTTGTTATCTGTTAATCAGTAGATAGTTTTTAAGAATTGTATGATAATAATATTAATAATAAAATGTGGGCTGCAGCCAGTTCAGCTCCGCACTGGCTAAAGTGCTAGCCAGCCATTTACATATGTTTTTATCATATCTAGAGCATTCGTTTTTCTGCGCTTCGCAACGCTTTCACAAAATCCTACATTTTAACTTACGCTTAGTAGTTTTTTTTTCTTCTGTGATACTATTAGTTGCAGTTTTTGCATCATGTATATTTTATTATCATCGACCCCCCTCTCGCTTCCTATATGTATACATATCTCATTACAATCTTTCTTATGCTTATGTTGATTTTTATATATTTATATATAATATATGTATGTATGCGAGTTAATGCTAAATAGAGATAATCCTAAATTTGCGTGCGCGTTTACGTGTTGTTGGTTTCCTAAAAGTCGTTCTTGTTATATTGCCGCCGCTATTGCTGCTGCTGCTGCTGACGCGTTTTTTTTTTTGCTGATGTGACTGTTGTTTGCCTTTATGATTGGTACATTTTTCTTCTTTAGTTTTCGCCTTTGCTCAACTAAACAATATACAATTTCGGGCTGAAATTCATGTATTCCAGATCTTAGCCTAGACATTAACGCAATTGGTTCATTTCAGCTTTATACTTTAATTATACTTGAATTTTTACTTATTTGTCCCTTTTCTTTCTATTTTCGTATATAAGTATATTGATATCATATGTTGCTCATAAAAATAGAAAAAAAAAACATGTATTAACATTTCGAATGACCGAAAATTGTCAGCATGAAAATGATCAACACTACTGACCAACAAGACCAGGAGTTTTCCATCAAATCAACCGCGACTGGCTGGCTTTTTAATAAGCGCACCAAAAAGCGTTAACGAATATTGATTTTCAAATATTTAAGTAATAAATAAAATTACTGTACAACGTTTTGCTTCTTATTTGTAGTTAAAAAAAGTAACTTAATAAGCTAATCTAAAACAAAAATGCGAACCGATTGGCGTTTCAAAGGCATTTCAAGGCTTTTTTTCCAAAATAAAACAGCACAACTAAATGAAAATTAACTGCAAATGAACATGCATTTTTTAAATAGCATTCAAACAATATATTTTTGACGACAGCTTTTAAGCCAACTGAGTGTTGTACTTCTGATAGCGTGCATTTCGGGTTCAAATAGCGCCGATTAAGAAATACTAAGCTGTAGAGCAAAAATGTGCTTTCCTAAATTCCACAACGCTAAAAACATTAAATGCTATAATATACTCAATAAAAATGTGAATTCAAAAATATCCATGCACTCAATATACTCTCCTTGTATGACGCATTTTCTTCGATCTACTAAAACATTTATTGGCTTTTAGCGCTGCTAATTTGGCATTAGCAAATTGTCGGTCTATTATTATTATGTGAATTCCAAAAATTCAAGTACATTATCACATTTTATTCCTCCAAACACGATTGTTCATTTCATATTTTCTCGATATAGTATAGTAAATTTCTCTATGTCTGAATATCTCTTGGTCAAGCATAAGAATATTAGCAAAAACAGCAACAGCTTTCTGAGTATAACTTGTCATCAGCAACATTCGTATTTTCTTTGAAGTTTATCTTGTTTCTTTACAAGTCTTGTTTGCGGCAGTGTTGAAGCTGATGGTGATGTCTGCTCGGCGACGATGTTTTAATTAGTTGACGAATTGTGCTGTTGCTACCGTTGCGCGCATTTCCCACTGCTCTTTCTCTGCCAACCGCTACCGATTGACGTTTTCTTTTAATACGCAACTGTGGCTGTATATCGTTATTACCGTTATAAAATCCCGGTGCCATCCTTGTTGTATTGACTGCTGACGTTTCTGCGGTTTCAGTTTTTTTGTGCGCATACATGTAAATTTGGGTATTCTCCAACACTGTTGTCTCCATACATTCGGCCAACTCGTCGCCTGTTGCCACTCTAAAACTATTACTTTGATTACAATAATTATTATTATAACTGCTGTGGTGATTATGTTGGTGACTATTGTTTTTGTTGCTGCTGTAGTTCAAATGATATTTACGATTTCGGTTTGTGTAATAATTGTTGCTATTGATGTTGTTACTGCTGCTATTGTTGTTGTTATTATTACTATTATTCGCGATCAGCATCAGCAATTAGGAATTTGAGTTACGTTTCGTCTGCAGCTAGGACGAGCTCGACTGGTTCAGATTACCGAACATACCCGCCGAAAAAGAAGTCTGCCCAGCGGAATTCGCCTGTGATGTGGTCGACTGTTGCTGCTGTTGCTGTTGTTGTTGCTGCTGCTGCTGTTGTTGCTGCTGCTGCTGTTGCGTCATCTGCGATTGGCCGCGACCATGCTTAGGCATGGGCGGCTGAATGTATTCATGTCGCGCCAAAGCAAACACATCCATGCGATCCTCTTTACGATATGCCAAGCAGCCACGTATGAAACTCTGAATAAAGAGAAGGAGAAAATTATTCGCATAAATCATTGGCTATGAATGTTTGAATCTTAAAATTTACCTTTGCTTCATTTGAGACAGTTGGTTTGTTGGAGAATTGCACCTCTGTAGCTTTAAGAATTGTGTTCTCTTCAAGTATTGTGGCCTGCGATTGGTTATGGCCGAAAGGTTTTTTGCCATAAAGACATTGGTAGAAAATAACACCGACACTCCAAACATCGACTTTCGATGAGATTTTTGGCGGATTTTTTCCAACAACGAAACATTCGGGCGGTAGGTACCTGGGGGATTGTAAATAATGATAATTGCTACTAAATTTCAAAGGCTTGGTATCATGCTTTAATTTTTAGTTTACTTATACCTATATAATATAGGAATTTGAATTATTGCCATTAAAGGTAAATAATTATGTATATTAATTTTTATATTCAGATCACTTTATGATAAATATTTTTTTTTATTACTTTTTTTATGAGTTCTAATAAATTGTAATCCAAAAATGGATAATCAGTATGAATACACTAATTTTAAGCGAAAACTTTGTTTCCTTCTCCCTGCCGAAATTCTGTAGGTCTACATTAACAATTTTACTTTGTAATGGTTGTGTCTGTTGCCCCACACATACTCACCAATAGGTTCCCGCGCCTTGCGAAGTCAAGTCCATGCCATGATCTGGATTATAGTTCTCATCATCCATCACTTTTGATAGACCAAAATCGGTGATTTTAATTTCTCCACACACATTACCTTCTGTCAAAAGTATGTTGCCTGGCTTCAGGTCATAGTGTATTACTGGTGGTTTAATCTCATTCAGATATTTCAGAGCCGAAACAACCTAAAACGTAAAATGGGTAGAAAATAGATTTAAAAAATACATTTCATATATTTTTAGCCCGCCACATACCTGCATAATAATCGAGCGCGCTTCACGTTCGGGTATAGTTTTATGCTGTTTTAGATAGAAATCTAAATCATGACCGTCGCAATATTCGAGGACTGTGCAAAAAGAATTGGCGTCTATCTCGAACACATCATACAGCTTGACTACACGGGGGTGATCCAATGCCTTATGTATATTGTATTCTCGCAATGCATGCCTATGAACGAAACCATAGTTATATTTGAATATTTCAAAAAACTTTTACACTCACTTAATATAGTTGGCTTTCTTGTCCTCCTTCCAATCCTTATTCAGTTGGTGAACTTTACATGCTACATATCGTTGCTCTTTTAGATCAAATGCTTTGTGTACCTCGGAGAAACCGCCTTTTCCCAGTAACATCAGCAACAAGTATCGATTATTTAAGACTGGATGGTTGTTGAAGCGAGACTAAAAAATAGTTTCAAAAAGTTAATAATTCTATTCGATTCAAATTATTAGAAAAGTTTGCTTTTATTTATGTAACAAGTAAATTGCAGCGTACCTGATCCTCGTTTAAAATGCGCTTCAATTCGCGAATATGTAAGTTGCGCTCGCGCTCCAACTTCTCCATCTCCAGTTGCAAATCCGCGTCTTCTTTCTTGAGCGCGTTCTGTCGCAACTTCAATATTTCATCGTACTCGTAGTACTCTTGCGCTGTGTATGCCCCTGAAACGGGATCGGGTTTAAGGAACGTTGCATCTCCGCTGTTATCGCCGCGGCCAGCACCACTACTGCCGCCGCCGCCTCTGTCGGAGAGACGATCACCAACACCACTGCTACCGCCAACACCGCTGCCTCCACCGTTGTGCAGCAATTGTGTTTGACCGGCCTGCGTAGAGTTCGATCGCGAGAGACCTCGGCCACCACCACCACCAACACCTCCGCCACCACCAGTCGTTGCGATGCCGCTGTCGCTACCGCCCGTCAAACGATCACAACCAGCTACATTAGTCGAATCATTAGAATTTGAATTCTGGTTGTTGTTGCTATTTGTGTTGCGTTTACGTCCTGATTCCGCAGGACGTTTTTTCATCAGCTGCTTTTTTTGACGATCGATTTCTTCGCGTTCAGCCGAAATCTCCTCTTGCCGCCGGCTAAGCTCTTGGAAAGCATAACCATCTGTCCAATTTTCCTGGAATGTGGCGCCGACGCGCTGCGTCACAAACTGCCCTAAACGCAAACGGTTTTGCATGCACTTCTGTCTCGCTTCCTTCTTTTCGATGCTGCTCTTTTCTTTAAGCAATTTCTTCACGACATCGATGCACTTGGCGATCTGCGACTTATGCTGGTCGATCAGCTTCTGATGAGCGATTATCTGGCATTTCTGCTCATCAGACAGTCTTGTCATCTCGTCGAGTTTCGACTTGCTCGATTCGATCTCAGTGTCTCGCTCCTTTATCTCTAGGAACGAGAGGTCCGTTTGCGTGCCCTTTGTTATGGTGCTGGCGGGTATTGGAGGCAGCGGTGGTTGCATGCCGCCCAAAGTGCCCGGGATCATGCCGGCATGCTGCAGTGAGTTTAACTGCACAGCGGCCAGCTGCTGCGAGGTTACGCCACTGGTAAGGGTCTGTTGCGCCGAGGTGGCAACCGATGTTGCGGGAATATGCTGTTGTTGCGCCGGACCCATGGGCGGTGGTGGTGGGCCGCCGACCACGCCACCACCTAAACTACTCATGCTGCCTGCCAACACGCCGACTATTGCCGACTGCGGAGGAACCATTGCATTGGAAGTTTGTGGTTGTGATTGACGTTGCTGTTTTGAAGCATTGTTTACACCCACAGTGGAGTAGTGATGGAATTCTGGGGGCGCTTGCGATGTAGGCGTTTGCACGCCTGCTGGATTCATTTGTTGGGGACTAGGTGGATACATAGCATAAGCGTTCGTAGTGCCGCCACCACCGGCATTACTTGCGCTTTGCACTTGCTGAGCCGATTGTTGCTGTTGCCCGGCACCAGCCGACGATGGACTCTTCGAGCCGCCCGTGTGCGGACGCATTGGGCTGTTTGTGGCACCGCTGGTTGTTACATTGTGCTTATTGAAGTATTCATTGATTTTCTTGTTATCGATGCTACTATGTTGAAGTAGTCGAGCATTTTTGCCGCCAGGCAAGTTGCAGCGATCCGCTGGTGTACCTATATTCAATGATAAATTGGCTTTGTTGAGTGTCTGTGCACTTGTGATCAAAGTGGAGGTTTTAGATGTCTTGCCGGTGCCGACTATTGTCGCATTTCCAGCATTATTACCTCCACTTCCACCACTCCCTGCGCCAACACCAGCGCCTCCACCTCCACCACTGTCTTCAGTGTGTGGAGCTTTCCGCTTACGCTTTCGCTCTGTTGGGGTACGTGGTGGCTTTTCAAGGCGGCCGACCATATTGTTATGCTGGACTTGTTGCTGCTGATTGCTGCNTGTAGTGCCGCCACCACCGGCATTACTTGCGCTTTGCACTTGCTGCTGCTGAGCCGATTGTTGCTGTTGCCCGGCACCAGCCGACGATGGACTCTTCGAGCCGCCCGTGTGCGGACGCATTGGGCTGTTTGTGGCACCGCTGGTTGTTACATTGTGCTTATTGAAGTATTCATTGATTTTCTTGTTATCGATGCTACTATGTTGAAGTAGTCGAGCATTTTTGCCGCCAGGCAAGTTGCAGCGATCCGCTGGTGCACCTATATTCAATGATAAATTGGCTTTGTTGAGTGTCTGTGCACTTGTGATCAAAGTAGAGGTTTTGGATGTCTTGCTGGTGCCGACTATTGTCGCATTTCCAGCGTTATTACCTCCACTTCCACCACTGCCTGCGCTAACACCAGCGCCTCCACCTCCACCACTGTCTTCAGTGTGTGGAGCTTTCCGCTTTCGCTTTCGCTCTGTTGGCGTACGTGGTGGCTTTTCAAGGCGGCCGACCATATTGTTATGCTGGACTTGTTGCTGCTGATTGCTGCTAACGCCTGCGCCACCTCCCATCATACCTGTTACGTCTTGACCTAAACCGCTGTTGCTCATCATAGCCCCCGGGGCACCGTTATTGGACAATAAACCTATTTGACTGGGAATGCCTGCTGCACCTAACATGTCGGCAACATCTTTTTCGCTATGCGATGATCCTGTGCTCATATTCGAATCGTGATTACTGCTATGTCCGCCACTATGCGTGTGTTGCAGGGCAGCTGGTTGCTGCTGCAACGGATTCGCGAGTGCACTATGCGTTTGCTGCAGCAACTGTTGAGGGTGCGACAACTGTGTATGTGGTTGTGTAAGTTGTGTCTGTTGCTGTTGCTGCTGCTGCTGCTGTTGATGATGATGATGATTAGCTAGCGTATGCAATGGCTGAGGTTGCTGTTGCGACTGCGATTGCTGTGGCTGCTGTGCCGTATGATGAGTTATATGCTGCTGTTGCAACTGTTGTAACTGCTGTGTTTGCGTTATTTGTTGAGTTAATATTTGTTGTTGTTGCTGCTGTTGTGGGTTATGAAGTGCTGTGCCGTAATGATGTTGCTGCTGTGTTTGATGATGATGGCTTATCGACGATGTAGTCTGGGGTGCCATCTGCAATTGAGCGCCGGCGGACATCTGTGAATGGCAAATAACAAGGTAAAACATCAGATTTTTTGTAAACTCAAAAAAGACTAAAGCGTATAACCTAATATATATGTACTTATGTATATAATTAATATAGAACTATGTACTCTACATAATAGACATGAACAACATTTTAAGGTTATTGTAATATTTAAACACTCACACTTCGCGAACAATGTTGAGGTCATACCCATTATTGCAGACACCATCACACAATCCAAGGACATTTATTTGAAGAATTGATAACATAAATCCCGCTACAAATGTTTTTTTTTTCTAATGATACTTTCAGATTAACTCATTTAAATGTCTATCACCGGACTATGTTATTCTTCGGACGACCCTGTGGCTATCGATAAAAAAAAACAACACAACTAATCGATTAAAAATAACCGGCCGATAACACAGCAGCTGGCAGAATACGAAACACAACAACAAAGTACGCCAATAGCANCTAATGATACTTTCAGATTAACTCATTTAAATGTCTATCACCGAACTATGTTATTCTTCGTACGACCCTGTGGCTATCGATAAAAAAAAAAAAACTACACAACTAATCGATTAAAAATAACCGGCCGATACCACAGCAGCTGGCAGAATACGAAACACAACAACAAAGTACGCCAATAGCAGATGTAAATATATATGCAGGCAACGACGACGACAGCGAGAAGTTCACACAATAGCGAGTCAGACGAAAAATTACAAACTAGCGAATTAACGAACTACAAACGAACGAACGTACCCAACCAACGAACGAAACATATGTACGAAAATACGAATGTGAAAAATAGTAAAAATGTCAAAGCAGGGCAGAAACAAAAATGGCTACCGTTGGCGAATACTCGTCAACTTGTCAGCTAGCCAGCCATGTAACCAACTGCTTCGCACAACTTTTCCCCCACCAACTAGTTTTTACCAACGAAATACGCAACTACTACGCAAATCTACTTTCAAATACTAATTTTTCATTTATCAAAGTCAACCAACTAATTGTAAAATATAAAAATACGAGCGCACAAATTTGCCACCTTCTTTTGTGTCTGTGTTCTTGTCACCTTTTTTAAATGCCGCATTTCGTCGTTGCTCTCTTNCTAATTTTAAATATAAAAATACGAGCGCACAAATTTGCCACCTTCTTTTGTGCCTGTGTTCTTGTCACCTTTTTTAAATGCCGCATTTCGTCGTTGCTCTCTTTGCGTTACGTTTTAATTTTTCTTTCACAAATTTGTGGATTTTATAATTTTCACCACGCTTTGTTTTTGGCAAATCTTCACGGCAAAAATGGAAATGTTTCCAAAAATAATCACCGTATTAGTGAATTTTATACAATTTTTACTATTACATTTCGATAACACTGAACTATTATTTATTACCGCGACTTTTAATTATTTGCACACCACAAAAACTTCTTTCTCTGACTTTGAGCGAAAAAAAATTCTTTGCTTCTGATTCGGTTTCCTCACGTCTCACTACTCGTCTTCCAAAATTCTCTAAAGTTGCTCCGAAACCGCAGCGAGTCCGTCTGTCACTCGATAGTTTCTCGTTTTTCACTTCGTCATCGTTGTTGCTGTTTCGTCGTCGTCGACGTCGTCGCATTACTCGCTATTGCTTTTTGTTGCTGCTGCTGCAGTGTTTCATCGTTGTCGTCAGCCATTGCCGAAAAATTGAAATATTTTTTTCTCTACATTTCACACACCTCATTACAAATTTTCATCAATTTTCTACTTTGAAAATCTCATCAATATTTACAAGGATCTCAACCAAAACACAATTGTAATAGTCCAATGCACATTCAACTTTTCACACCACTAATTCAACGTTTTATAAAATATATATTTCTATCGCAAATTACTTTAATTTACACCCGACGACGTTTTTCATTCACTCCGCACTCAACTGAACGATCCGATGGTGATAGTGTGTAAAAGAAAGGAAGAAAAATTGTATGCATACCGTGAGCTGTGCTCAGTGTTGCCACTATTCCTATTTTCTTTCCAAATTTGGTCGCTTCTTTTTCATTTGGTAGGTTGGTAGGCAAAGTAAGATAGTTGAATTAAGTTTTTAAATTCTTAATTATAAAAATATATATTTCAAAAATCATTTTGCATATATGTATGTAAATATTTTCCAATTGTACCTTTTAAACATTTGCCAATTCTGCCTTTAAAAATAAGGCATAGGTGTAGGTAGCTTATGTATGTCGAAAGGCTGGCTTTAGTATAATGCGGCATTCGCACCATACGATTGCGAATGACTCACTGGCGCAGAGCCGTTGAAGAACTTTTGACAAATAAACGTGCAATAAATAGTTCCCAATACTAGCAAGTCAATATTCCTATTAACAGGTCTATTCTGCGCTGGTAATAAAAAGTTTGTAACCTGTATATAAAGTTGCGGTCAAATTTTTAAACCCTATTCACATTCTGTGTACTCTTGTAACCGGTAAGGTGGTAACAAATTATTGCCCCGTGAAATATGCAATGCCAGGATTTGCACAATTCTTCGTAGCTGAATTGCTGAATATTTTAACTGCATTACCAACGTACCTAGAATCGCAGTGACAAGAACTGTTAACATTTTTTTGTAATACAATTTTCCGGTTACAAAATCTTCGGTAACGTGCAGAATAGACCTGTAAGTGTCATCAAAAAATTCCTTCTCGTTTAAAGGATAAAGGGAATGCCGAATTATACCAAAGCCAGCTACTCGACATAAGCTACAATTCCATATGAACACAGCATTTAATCTTAAATAAATGAATTGTATGTTTTCGGAATGCTTTTTTATAACTGAAATTTATTTGGTTGGTTGTAAACGATTTTGGCCAGATTTGGGAAGAAAATTGGTACGGAAACAAATTGTTAGTGGCAACGCTGGCTGTGCTCACCAATTTGTCGATATGTGTGAAGGGATGTGGATGCATCTGAGAAACATGCGAGCAGAAAAGTGTTACCATCCCAATCTCGCTTTAAGCGGGCCCAATTTCAGTACATACACACCTTGGGAGACGAGATTAATTCCTGAATTCACACTTTTGTAAAGGTAAATATAACAATTTAGCCATAACTTGCTAGTACGAAGACTCAATAATCATCTACATTTACTTGTTTCGGAATAAAAAGTGCACTTTAAAAGGGTAAAAAATAAGTGAATGAAGCGATATACATATATTTGTTGTGAACACTTACACCACTATCCGCTCTTCGTAGGCTCACGCTAGAACGAGATAAATCTATAAACACCGCGAAATCCAACCCATACACATTCACAATTCAGTGCGATAACACTACCGAACAAACAGAAAACAGCACAGCAGGCAGTAAAGAGCAGGTAAAGAAGTACACATGAAATATTGTGCCAACAGAGAACACAGTCACACAAATACCTTGTCGTATATGCGCGACATGTAACGCCTCTCGCGTTGGCTCGCTCATGCTTTTATGTTCCGCTATTTGCTTTGTTTGCAAATAATTGCAAAAACAATTCATCTCAATCTTGCCAACTACTACACAACACCGGAATCTGAATCTGTGAAATTAGCAAGCAATCGAAATTCTAGTTGATCTTATGTTGTTAAAGTGTCGTTGTAATATTAATTGCTGAGCAAGCTAAGTGGAAAATAGTAAAATTGCAAATTTTCTTCTGAGGTAATGAAAATGTCACTTTATAAAGCTTTCTTAGCCTAGGTATGTAGGTACATTCATATGTACATAAGTATTTTAAACGATATTTGTTTGTACATACACATTCATATGTACATAAGTATTTTAAACGATATTTGTTTGTACATACACATGTAGATACATACATACATATGCTCGATAAGTGGATGGTGTGTCTACACATTTATAAGCCAATTAATTTGATTTGATTGCCTAATTCTTTAGTGGTGAATTTAAGCAATACATACCACCTACTTATTTATGTACACATGCCCCGAGTGTATGTACATTAGGGTTGGTAGAATTTTTATGCTCTCACCTCCTAGGATTGTTCTATACCGAAAAAATATACCCGCTCAGTTTTCCACGCATTTTGTATTAAAAAAAAAAAACACCGTAGAAATGGTATAGAATTCTTGAAAATCAAGATTTTTCGATCGGAAAACTCTGTTTCTCTTCAGGAGATAGTAATACTCAACTATTTCTTTAACCATTTTTTCATAGTAACTATATTTTATAGGTCCGCAAAAACCCTAAGAAAATGCCAGAAAATGGAAAGGGGGTATACATGAAAAATCTTTAGTATTAAAAAATAGTTGAATAAACATTTGGGTATTGTTATTGAAAGTCTCCTGAAGAGAACCAGAGTTTTCCGATCGAAAAATATTGATTCTCAAAATTCTGTACCATTTATGCGAAAAGTTGTTTTCCCCCATATAAATATTTTTTGATTTCAAAATTAAAAATATGTGTGTTTTTTCGATATAGAACAATCCCAGGGGGAAATTTTTGCCGCAGATACACTAACAGTCAAAAGACATTTATTCGCGCACTTCGAAATTCACCGTGAATCTACGGTAATTTTTTGCCGTGGATTTACGGCAAATAGACACTTTCTCAGAAATTACCGTAAATCTGCGGTATAAGTTACCTCTGCGCGTGTGAATTGACACAGCCATGTATTTATGCACATACAGTATCGGCCATATCAATAGCATTCCATTTCAAAGTGATATTGTTTGCCACTTATGTTACACTATTTATTTTTAAGAATTTTTAATTTAAATACAGTTCATTCTTTAAAAAAAAAACCATAAAACCCCATGTTTAAAACTTTGTAGAAAACTACATGAAAATGCAACAAATCTTCACACAAATTTCAAACTTTTTCTCAGAATGGTAAGAATTTTTTTGAGTGCATAGTTGTATATTATAGCCCATTAAACTTTAATCAGATAATGGTCAAACTTCAAGTGGTTAAAACAGACCGTTGATTTTTTTTTTTTTTTTTTCATTCTAGTATAATAAAGTGCAGGTTTCAAGTTGCTAAAAAATCCCGTTGGAGGAGGTTATCAGTTCGTCGAAATATTTTTTTTTTATGTATGATTGTTTTCATTGAACGACTTCAAAAAAGGAGGAGATTATCAGTTCGTCGGAATCTTTTTTTTTTTATGTATGTTACCGCATAACTTTGGACCACGTTAACCGATTTCGATAATTCTTTTTTCATCGGAAAGATCCGATAATTGGATCGTGAAGAAATCAACGATAATCATAAATTTTTATATAAGAATTGAAGTCGGTTTCGTTGTTTGCTTAAAAATTGCTTGTTTTATTTTCTGTCTTTATTTGAAAGTTTGTTTTTCGATTGCCAGATGAATTGCATTCATACAACAAATCATATTTATGTGGCATATTTGGAGGAATTTTAAAATTGAATTGAGAATTTAAAAACATGTGAAAAAATTTTATGGCAGCATGATTCTCGCACAGCTCTTTTTGCACTTAGAAATTTAACTTAGAAATCAAAAATATACAGTTCTCCAAGTTTATAAGCGAAGTGGTTTTTTTGGGTAACTATGTACATACAAGCGCTACTCCTTCGTCAGATATACAATTTTCCAGTCAAGTCAAGTCTAAGTCTTGCATAACTGACCTTTTACTGGTATTCGCATTGCATTGGGTTTGCAAACATTACAGCCTTCACCGTTCTTAAATTATACTTAATTTTCAATTTTGTTTTCATCATATTTAGTTTTGAAAAACTCGATATTTTTGAAGCAAATTCAAAAATATTTTTATTAGTATCAAAAATTGGTATTTGTGAACAAAAAAGTATCGAAAGTATCAAATTGCAAAATTGAAAAAGAAAAGTATCAAAAATGATACAATTGTATCAAAACGGCAAGGCTGAACCCAACGCGAAAATACATCGTCTCAAAATCGGGAAAAATTTCCGCTTCAATTGACTAGGTAAAAAATTAACACCGCTGTTAGGCATACATAAATACATCCATATTTACATAGCATAACAATGTGGTTAAACATATGTTAATACGTAAGTACATAACAACTCAAATAAATACATATAGATATATCCATGTATGTATGTATGTATTATACAAATGTATTGAGTGAGTTGTCACTATTTACCCACCATGCCATGCCAGATGTGCAATGCACACCATCTGTCAATTCCTAAGTTTTGATACCAAACAAAACGGCAACACCGCCGACTTAACAATCAAATCAACAGAAGCATAACAGAGAAGAGCACAGCAACCGGTAACCCCAACAACGAGTGGGCTTCAATTAAATGACGATTCATAGGAAAGTAGTCTACTGACAAATATGAAAATATTGATATTGATGTTAAATCACAACAAAGAAAGTCAAATGTTACCAGACACTCTCAATTCTGCTTTTTAAGATACGCTTAAAAATATATATTAAGGGGGTTCACAAAGTACCATCAAAGTCATATTATGAATTTTCGCAGTATTAAAAATAGTTGGTGGTGGTTTAAGTTCTCTAAACATTTATTTAAGTTTTTAAAGTTTCCGACACTTACGACACCGTTGTGAATCTCTCAATTGTATGTATGTACATACCACGATGTAGAGAACAAAGGGGCGCTTCAGTGGCACCGCTACTTTGGTTTTGACGATTTTGCCAATTCTCAAGTAAAAGTAAATAACGCCTCAACGTCTTTTATTTTTACGTACTTTTATACATTAAAATGCATGAACCAATTAGAACAGATCTGACTGGTTGACAAGCAGTCATTTGCAATAGCATTTGAGAAAAAGTATGTGACGTTCGTAGTTTTGGCGGTGATTTATTTCAGTGTTGCAAAAAAAAAAACGTACACAAATAATAAATTGGTGAGCACAAGCATGCGCTCAAAAATTGCTTTAATTTTTTTTCTTTATGCTTCGTCTTCATATCAATTACAAACGTCAGACAGAAAATTATTTTTTTCTTTTGCTTCATCTTGTCAGATCTTGTGTAGTTAGATCTTGATTAAGATGGAAATAAACACCAACCGTAATGCATGAAACACATTGAAAACGAAATTATTTTAACACGTACTTTTATGTAGATAATTATTTGGGCGGCGACAGAGCTACACCGCGACTGTGGTTTTTGGCCAGTTTAAATCTATTTATATATTTCTAGCGACAGATAAGGTTCTTCTTTTATGCCAAATTCATACAAATTCATGATGTAAACAATTCACAACTGTGGTCCGTGATCTATCGTTTTCAATGCGTTTCACGCATAAGACTTCCCTATACTTTTGGTAGATTTCCGAGTATTTTCCTAGGAAAAATAAATGTTAGAGTGGCAACACTGGTAAAGTCTCCTAAACGTATGGCAACGCGCTTGTCAAATTGCTATCAGATACAACGGCATGTAATTCAGCAGTTTAAAGGCTCCGTTATGCATACTTGGCATTGCTTGAGAGTTGTCACATAAGGAATCTGTTAAATGAGCTTCGCGTGTAAGCGGTTACCCAACGCACAGCATTACATACGTAAAAGTCTGTTGGTTTTTGATTTCTACGTAAAAATGGTATAGCAGTGCATGCAATGCCAAGTATGCATAACAGAGCCTTAACAGTTCATGCCGATGAGTCAAGGTCGAGAGACGTCATGTCACGCAGATTTTCATTTTCATTCCCCACATAAAGTATGTATATATACAGAGAATTTTTGTTCTCTTGTTTACGCTCTCGCATATACATACATTTGTATGTACATACTAAATTCCAATAGGGCATCCAAACATTTATATTTATTTATAGCACTCTCAACTAACTATGCATATGTATATAATATGTAAATGCATACGTTTATACACATTCCCATATTTATTCAAGTCTTTACTATTTAATTGGGAATAATAAATATGGAGAATTGCTAACAGTTCATGCGACTCTGTTATTATTCTGTCTATTTTTTCAGCACTGCTACATTTACGAATATATGAGTTGTTTGTCTGATTATCGGTTTATCTGATTATATTTTTCACTCAATTTACAGAAAAAAATACATTACTTTTTGATGCAATAATTAATGGTGATACATCTACGTTTCGACACTCCCTTAGCTCAAGGTTGTATTTTGGAAGCAAGCGAAGCCACGAAAGTGGAAAAAACGAAGGTCCTTTGGCAAAATGGTACTAAATTTAGTACTGTTTCGTAACAAAAGTGTTAAATTAAAATTTGTGAATTCTGAGATTTTTTAAAATATTTTACGAGAAATTTTATACAAGCATAAGCTAAATTATATATTTTATGGGATACATTTTAAAATAAATATTTATTCTTTTTTTTTTCAGACAACTAATATTACGGGCTTCGGCAAACTTAGCCACGGAGCGATACTCAGTTGAACAACACTTAAAAGTAATCCGAACATGGACTTGGGAAAACATGTAGCTTCAACAGGAGGGTGCCACTTGCTACACAGCGCATAAAACAATAGCCCGATTGCGAACATCTGCGGTCTTATTGAATCATCCTATAGTTACCAAACCTTTTTGATTTTAATCTTTCGCATTATTATTTTTATGAACACAGCTGTATGTAGAATTGTATGTATACATATGCACACATGATGACTACAAATCGAAACGAAAAAGGCAAAAATATTCATACAGCATGAGAAATACGACCCACAACCACAAATCTTGCTTTAACGATTTAATCCAATTTTTCAAATTAACTGTCTGTGGCATTCGCATTGCTCCATATTTCATCGAGCAAATATATACGTATGTACATACTTGCTGCATACATTAGTGCCCACACTAGTACACAATAAGAAAAGTATATACACAAAATCAAAGAGTGGAGCAAAAATTTAAATGTAAACCGGAAAAAACACGAGCACGTGCTTGAAAAAGATTAAACGAAAGAGAGAATCACTACATTTAAAGAGCACGCACATCGTAAAACACCGAGTGCCAGAATTGAAAATGAAACATGAAACACGCCAAGCAGACGTCCAATATGTATGGCGTTCGGCCCACTATTCAAACACACAAAGAAAACAAACACAAATTTGCCTACATACAGAATCAGTAGAAGAAAAAAAAAATAGAACACATTTTAGCAACCCTTTTTCAAACGGGAAGTCAAAAATCGAACTCACTCTCTCTGCGATTGTTTTTCCTGTTGCTGCCACTGTTGTTAACAGTTTACGATTACGTTTAGTTGTCGCCGAAGTTGTATGACCAATTTTTTGTTGAGCTGACACATTTGCACTCAAACAGCGCCGCTTGCCGCGCGACGACGCTATCGGTGACTTTGCACTCGTTATCAAATTCGTATTTGAATATTGACGCTGCAGTTGCTGCTCCTCTGTTGTCGCCGTTAAAACAATTTCGCTAAAAATTGGCTGCACTACAGTGGTGGATGTAGATGTCAAAAATGTAAATCTGCCAGCACCGCTGCTGCTACTGCTGCCGCCACCACCGCCGCCGACGCCAACAGCGAGACCAGCGCCGACGCTGCCAAAGCCCGAAGCAGCAGGCAACATATGCGCACAATTAGACGACATGCACGTTGCAACTTGCAACACAACCAACAATTCACACAAGAGCGCAGCAATTAATTTTACACACACGTTCACGTCGTGTTGATGAAAAAACTCGTTAGGTCGGTTGGCCCCGCAAGGCAAAGAGAAATCAGCTGATCGGTATGAACACAACAAACGAACGACCGGCACGAAACAGCTGCTCGTTTAGTTGGCCGTAACCGCCGCCGCCGCCACCATTATCATCAAATAAACAAAGCACGAATACTAACACGGTGTTTGTATTGTAAACAAACGAGTGCACAATCACTCGGCATGCAGAGTTCAAAAGACACCATGAGATTACTCTTCGTTTTTGTTGTTTCTTTTTATAGCGTGTTTTTTTTTTTTTGCCTTCGTTTTATTGCAGTTTAACAACTGTATGGAATTAAATATTGTATGTATTTTGACAGCACGTACTCGCCTTTTCAACGACGATTCTTTTTTGTTTTTATAAATTATTGACTACACAAAGCGAGCGCCCAACTTGCGTGCGCCTTTGCTTGTGCCGTTGATTTGCTTGGATATACGAAGATGACTGACCAGAGCAAGAAACCAACCGATGTTTATTGTGTGTTTACTATGGAATTTCGTGGTTTGTTTGATTTTCGTTACTCATTCACAGCCGCTAACTACCACTCGCAATTTTTTGTTCACGTTCTATTCCGCGGTTTCGATTTTATTTTATTCCTCAATGGAGCACAAGCGTGAAGTTGGAGGCGATAACGAGATGCTGCCGTTTAAAAATTTCACGTAGTATGAAGTGTGTATGTACATATATATGTATGTATGTTTGTATGCATGCAAATATGTTTGTTGGTTTAAGATTGCGCAGAAGAGCAAAGTAACATAAAAGCGCCGCAATTACAGAAGGCCGAACATATCGTTGCTACTGTTGTTGTGGCTTTGTCTGCCATTACTCGAAGTTGCCGGAATGTTTCACTTTGTTCGTTGCGACTCGCCTATGCTGTTATAATTTTTTCAATGGTGTTCCTTACACCTTTTCTTATTCAGCGTACTAAATTATCACGGTGCTGCACTGTTAATACCGTCACTGCCACTTGCCTGTGTTCTCTCTTCCCACGGCTTGTTGTACCCAACAACAAAATATTTGTGTTTCTTCTCGCAGCTGTTACACACCTCTGTCACTGTTAATTGCCTTGGGGTTATGTTCTTTCCATTTTTTTACACAACATTCACTACACTTATCTCACAGCCATTTGTATTTTACTTTGTACTCAAACCAGTTCGAATTTATGTTTTTGTCTTGCGTTTTCTGTATTATGTACTGGTTTTATATCACTTCATTTCTCTGGTATTTATTACCGTACTGTTTGCGTTTTTCACTTTTCACTTTGTTTTTTCCCCCTCTCTCTTTTGTTATTTGCAAATTTGTCTTTGCTTCCTTCTTACTAATTTTTCAACCGCTGATCAAACGATTACACACGTCACAATGTACGCTCTGCGCGACCAATACTGACAGTTATGAGCGCAGAGAAGATACTCAGATACCATTGCTTTTGCATTGGTTTTCAATTGGTTGCGCGTCGTCGCGACACGTCTCGTGTAGTCTCGTCTCTTCGCAATACGCCCCACTGTCTTGCACTTAGTAACTGCAGTGCAATGCGCTACATATGTATGTATACATATAACCAAATTCACGTACATACATAACTACATCCCCATATACGATGTATGTGTGTATGTATCGAATGTTCGACGGTCTGCCTCGACTATTCAACCGACCGACTGACTGACTATTCGTTGTTGACAAGGCGAGCCAAGGTGAAATTAGCAAAACGTACTCAACTTGTACGTACACACAAGCGGCCGACCGAAGCGAAAATAATCAACTAACCGACTGAACTTAAAATTGTTGTTTTGCTTTGGGTTAGGTTAGAGAACGCGAAGACGCAGTGACATAAACGCTGTATAGTCGACGTTGCCGTTGTTGCTGCAGCTGCTTTTTGCTCGCCTTGGTTCGGACCGACGTACATATGTACATACACAGATAAATATATATACATCCATATGTATATTATATAGAGACGCATGTATATCTGTATGAATGTCCTATGGACGAATTGTTCTTTTCTGTCGATTATGTATGGATGTGTGTATGTGTGCCTGTGTTTATTGAATGGGGTTTTAATTTTGTTGTAGCTAGATGTTGTACGTTGTTTGAGTTGCCATGTTGCGACACCAAAGACTTCCTTCGACACAAAGAGCAAAAGACACGTGCAAAATTTTTCTTACTGCCACGTTGCCAGTGTTGCCGTTGTGCGACTAAAGGGCCAATTTGACTCTTTTTTAAGCGCCAATACCCTTTGACCCGATTTTTTGAAAATTTTGATTTTTTTACGCTTTTCCAAAATTATGTGCGACTTTTGCCCTTTCTCAGAGGTTTTTTTTAGGAAATGTTAACAGAGCCATGCTACTAAAAGATATTTCCTAAAGTAAGANAAAATATTTGTGTTTCTTCTCGCAGCTGTTACACACCTCTGTCACTGTTAATTGCCTTGGGGTTATGTTCTTTCCATTTTTTTACACAACATTCACTACACTTATCTCACAGCCATTTGTATTTTACTTTGTACTCAAACCAGTTCGAATTTATGTTTTTGTCTTGCGTTTTCTGTATTATGTACTTGTTTTATATCACTTCATTTCTCTGGTATTTATTACCGTACTGTTTGCGTTTTTCACTTTTCACTTTGTTTTTTTCCCCCCTCTCTTTTGTTATTTGCAAATTTGTCTTTGCTTCCTTACTAATTTTTCAACCGCTGATCAAACGATTACACACGTCACAATGTACGCTCTGCGCGACCAATACTGACAGTTATGAGCGCAGAGGAGATACTCAGATACCATTGCTTTTGCATTGGTTTTCAATTGGTTGCGCGTCGTCGCGACACGTCTCGTGTAGTCTCGTCTCTTCGCAATACGTCCCACTGTCTTGCACTTAGTAACTGCAGTGCAATGCGCTACTTATGTATGTATACATATAACCAAATTCACGTACATACATAACTACATCCCCATATACGATGTATGTGTGTATGTATCGAATGTTCGACGGTCTGCCTCGACTATTCAACCGACCGACTGACTGACTATTCGTTGTTGACAAGGCGAGCCAAGGTGAAATTAGCAAAACGTACTCAACTTGTACGTACACACAAGCGGCCGACCGAAGCGAAAATAATCAACTAACCGACTGAACTTAAAATTGTTGTTTTGCTTTGGGTTAGGTTAGAGAACGCGAAGACGCAGTGACATAAACGCTGTATAGTCGACGTTGCCGTTGTTGCTGCAGCTGCTTTTTGCTCGCCTTGGTTCGGACCGACGTACATATGTACATACACAGATAAATATATATACATCCATATGTATATTATATAGAGACGCATGTATATCTGTATGAATGTCCTATGGACGAATTGNCAAATAATATGGTGACCCTTTTTTGTTCAATGACCACTTTTTTGCGACTTTATGAAACTTCTAAACGGCAACACTGCACGTTAGTGTTCAATTTTATAACTTCTTTAAAAATTTACTCACTTTTCCAATGCAAACTTATCTATCCCTCGAATATGTTAATACATACATATACATAAGTAATTCGTTAATTATTAGTTATCGATAACAAGAAAAATTTCGTTGCCGAATATGCAAGTCTCTCGATTATTGGTGAAGAACGAACATACATAGATATGTGCATACACATGTATGTACATACATATGTGCATAGTTTCCTCTTGAATCAAAGGAGATGCAATTTTTTTGGATTTATGTACTGTATTTCATAATCGAATATTTTTGCCACAAAAAATATATTCTTTGAATTGTACTAGTAATAGAATGCGGAAGTAGAAAAAACTTGCAATTCGTTTTAAATAGAGCTTTGCAGATTTCACCCAAGAAAAAACTCAAATTAAAAATGTTGTATATATGTATGAATGTATGTACATACATACATATATATTTAGTACAATGTACAACTAAAGCAATTGGCTAGAGGAGAATGTTCGTCGCCAAATTCATTCGCTTCTTTAATAAAAAAATTATACATACATGCATACATGTATCAAATCGGATGAAAATTACGATTGTTTTCGCCACTGTGTTATGGCTTATTTGGCAAATCTGCTTAGAATTTCACGTAAGATGCCACACCTTCACAGTTTGACCCACCCTAATGTACATATAAATATTTGGACAATTCACAAGGTGTCGTATTTGTCGTGTTTGTCGTGAAGTCATGATATTTCATGACAGTTGTAAAAATGTTGTTATTGTTTTGTGAAGAAAAATAACACATGACGATACAACTCTGCAACCTATGTTTATTCGGTGTTATGTGAGGTTAAGTGCTGAGATATAATAAATAATCGTAACAGGTGTTCACAACCGTCGTGTTTTAACACAACTTTTGTTAGGAAAATATAACTTCACAACACCTTGTGAATTGCCCAATTATGTGTTATGATAAGAACTGTAAACCAAAAACGAGTCATTTTTATTTGGCAAACTTAATACGTGTACATATGTACGTTTGTGCACGGCTTTCGCAGTGTTTTCTAGTTTGAGAAGAATATCATCTACTAAGGTTATAAATCACCAATTTACAAAAAAAAAAACGCAATTAGTAGCAGGGCCTCCAGTCATTCGTATGTATGTACGTAGATAATTTTGTCAAAAACCTGGAGCTAAACGTGGTAAACGAATATTTGATGGATATTCGTTAATTGAGCGAGAAACATACGATTAATACATACTACATACATATATCGGTTACACTTTGGAATTAACATTCGTGCAGGTACTAAAAATGTACCCTTTCACCGCTTTTGAACTAAATACCTAGGTATATACATAAATATGCATGAATTGCAAAATTCTCGCGCTCTCTTAGTGCCTACCACCCACCATTTAGTGTTGCCGTTTTGGTAATTTTTTAGGTAATTTATTTCCCTTACTTTATCGCTTTTTCGATTCATTGTTAAAAATATGTTAAGTAGAGTCCATCATCCCGTCACATAACAAGTAGGTTAATATAGGCCGGTCGTTTAGGTTCCACATTAGCAACGTCATCAATAAAAACTAAATCCGGACATTTGCCTAAATTGTTGATAATTGAATTGATTTGATATAATTGGTTAAATACATCCCGCGAAGAATTTGGCACTAGAATCCCATCTATTAAGTTCCAGGAAACACACGCTAGCTTGAAATTCCTCAACACAATAACAGAAAATAAAGAGAGTAATAATGAAGAATGTTAGAAGTAAACCGAAGGATTAGAGTATATAAATTACAAAAAGAAAAACGCTATTCGAGAGAGATAGCATATTTTAACATAGAGGAATTCGACATCATCGGAGTTAGTGAACTCAACTTTCTCCAAGGGAAAATCAGTCTGAACAGCTATTAAAACCACACAACCTTTGTAATCCAAGCAATCATTTCTAAATATTAATACTTTAGTATTACAAAGTTGACGTCAAAAGACTTTAAGTAAAACTTTGTTAGTTTTGATCTTTACAAATATTGAAGAAGAAATAAGTATTTTGTCCTAAAGAGGGAATTCGAAGAACTTTTTCATTCCGAGAACGAGGTTTTGACTAAATCTCTCGAATTAAAGCACCATTAGGCCAGAATTAACCATCAACAATGTTTTGATAATGGTCGGTTCTTTCTTACCTAGAGTAAAATTTTCTCAAATTTGGATGACGGAGTTTAAGCTGTGAACGCAGAAACTACAATTAGCTTTTTGGGAAAAGGAGAAGGTCTACTCAGAGATGTAAGTTCAGCTGTAGATTTTGCAGCAGGAGCATACCACCAAAAATATAATACCTCCATTGCCAGAGTTATTACTGTTCCGGACGAATTTTTCAGCGGAAATTTATTTTAAATATAAAATTAGCAAATAATTTGATGTTTAATTGATTGATTGATAAATTTTAATTAACTGTCCTGACTTTTTTCGCTTTCTGTAAGACCTACGCATCACTTTTGCACTTCATTACATGAAAACAAAAAGTGGCAAATCCCTCAGTCGCGATTACTCACTACGCACAGTTTAGTGTAATAAGTGCGTTTGAGCTGAATGAAGTTATCAGCACGGGCTGACCAATTCTTCTGAGAGGACGACTTATGTATACGTATTTAAGTGTTGCATTGTTATCACGTAAGTCGGATATGCAAATGTGACATTAGGGGTACATTTTTATTGTTTAACAAGACCCGTAAGAAACTTCTTAGTAAAGAATTTTTTTTTCTGTAGCGTAATCGGTCCTATTAGGACTCCTAACTCACTCGTTTGCTTTCCAAAAAGAAATTTCGCCACCACCGTATCTGGCCTTGTCAGGAAAAACATGGATGTTTTGCAGGCGTCAGTCTTGCACCCGCGGTTCTCATGAGCATTATTCATCGCTTTAACTGACTCTATATTTGGCTTTGGTTTAATTGGACGCCATTTGCCAGTTTTTGCGAGCGGTTTCAAATGCCTTCAGAGCATCTTGGCATGTTATGCCTACTCTTAAATATGCTAGTGAATAAAAAAGATAAGCGTATTTCGGTCGTAAAAATATGCAGGTGGCAACACTGGCTACGAAATTCCATACATACATATATTCTACACTTTCTTCGACAAGACGTTATTGCCACACCCCGACTTCCCGTATAACATGAACGAACACGTGCACCCACATGCGTTCACATACGAGCGAGATTTGGTTCTACGCTCTCGCGTGAATACCAAAATTATTTCAGGAGATTAGGAGAACATTTATACATCCGCACATTCGTATAAATGGTATAATAAGATGCCCCTGGCTGGTGTTGCCACTGTTGGTCTTTT